TAAATGGAACTTTAAAACTTTTTTAAGTGTTACAGTGATATTTCGTTATATGTTCCATAATGTCAATAATATTGATTTCCTTGTAATATCCACAATTAATGCAAATGTCAATATAACGAAATATCTTTTATGCGATGTTTGTGGTGTAATAAAAATCTGTGTTTCCATTACGTTTTTGATACGTATTACTCACTTATATGTAATAGTATAGAATAAAAATATACTGTTAGTCCGATATTTGAAAATATACATGCGTTCGTTGTCACTGTTAAACTGTTGTAATAACAATGGAATAATTAAATAATTTACTCAAATGTACATAATAATATATATATACATATTCATAAAAACAATATTAAGCGCAATAACTTTTTTGTACGCGAAAAAAAACCAATAGGTTCGTCGGGACTACAACCCAAGACTCCTTTCTAATACGTCTACTTTACAGTGAACGGACGAAAGAGAATCCGTTCACGACCATGGTCCCTTCGATGATTTTCCGACGTACCGAACACTCATGATCTGACAACATTGTACTTTAGACTCGACAACACTGTAGAAGTTAGACTAGTTGAGCTCGAATGGATTTAACGTAGTTCACAAATTCACCGTTCTCATAACGTAGAGGGCAGCAGAAAATCCCTGACTTTTTACACTATCGGTATTTCAGAACGTGAGACACGAAGTCCCATAAGATGATAGGTCTATCCTATACCTCGACGGTGGTTAAAGACAGCGGTGCGCACCGTTTCAGATAACACTGCTGAACAGAAAACGCTTTTTCATACATATGCGTTATTCATTAATCCCGGCATTATTTCCACTCCTATTCCTAATATCAATTAACCAAAAAAGTAATAAGAAAGAATAAATAATAACAAAATAATTAATTCTACAACTTTTAAAAAAGCCCGGGAAAAATTAGAATTTATGGGACATTTTGTGGCGACCCTACGACTTGGTGGCGAAAATTAGAACTAATTCTACAACTTTTAGGTGGCGCCATCAGGTGGCGACTTTGCAAACTAAACAAGAGTTCTGGGTTTAGTTCCAATTTCTGCAACAACTACTTTTGATGGCGAATTTTTTTCAATTCAAATTTCGTGCCAAATTTAACATTAATCTTATTTTTAACGCGATTTTAACTGTATTTAGCAATTATTATTGCTGTATTAATGAAAAATATAGGATAGAGAAAGTGATAGGCTTAGTAAACAACGCTTATGTAACATTTAACTGTTTATTATTGAAACAATTGTTAGAAAATGTACAATTTACAGCTGTATTTGCATAAAGTTAACAATAATTGTTTTAAATACTACTTATATACTCGATTTTAAAATATATTTATTATTATATATGCATAAACTCAGTAAAACACGGCTTAAATATTAGTCAGACGTAGTGTAATTTATCCGTCGCAAATAAGTTCCACTTCTGAAACTGGTGTAGATACACACAATATGAATGGAATATATAAAACTTCATTTGTGCTAATAATACTCAGAGTTCATGCTTTATCGGTAACGTCGGGTATTGACACTAAAATGGTAACAGGGCTACGCAGCCCTATGAACGTGGAACAGAAAAAAGCATTGGA